GAGAACAAATGTCTATTTTCTAAACTACTCTTGTCTTTTGACAGCCCAGATATCCAAGGCACATGTAGAAGCTTTTATCAGTGTGGACTACTATGGGATACAACCTTCTCAGCAACACGGTCTTTTCTTCTGAGCCAACCACTGGGAAACCTGACATATTAGCAGTTCAGAATCAGTGGTCTTCCCAGGGTGACAAGGAAATAGATGACCGAATGCCAGCTCCAGAGATGCCCCGGAGGCCTTCTCATTTTCTCCTCCCACCCCACTCTGAGCCCCTCGGCATCTAGGCAGCCGACTCTGAGAGCAGTGTGTCTCCCAGCTGACGGATGACTCATCACGTCATTTACGTTTGTCAGTCAGTGGAAACCAGAGCTCCAAAATCTCTGTCCAGGACGCTCCCTGGGGAAGCTATTAAGGAGAAGGCAGCCTTGCCAGACGTTTCTGTCCAGCTGGCCTAACGGGCATGTGCAGGGGCATCTGCTTATGCTCAGGGCCTGGCATGGACGCACGCTTCGGAAGGCTGCCCTCGGCTTTCCTACCATTCGCCATGGACAACAGGCAAGAGAGAAAATAGCCTCAGCTACTAAGAAAGCCACAAGGAGACCAATGCACACCCTGAAACACAAACAGGTAAAAAGAGTCAACTTTCCCATTGCAGTCGGGTTTGCGTTCACTTTTGGGCCTACTGGGTTGAACATTGCATAGTAAAAAAACACGTTCCATTTGGGGCCAGAAAATGTGGATTCCCGTCCCAACCTGCACTTAGATAGGTGAGCTTAAATTTTCCAATAACCTCTTAGATACTCAGTTTCTTCATCTGTAAAATGAAAAAGAACGAAAACAAAAACAAAAACAAAGCAAAACTGCTCTTGCTCTCCTTAGTCCACTTACAGCCATAAAACATATGGAAGCACTTTGTCAACCATAAGGAAAATGCTTTTTTCTCTCAGATGTTTATTTCTAACCACAAACCTCTCTCCCAAGTTCCAGGCTCACATTTCCAGCTTTCTATTCTGCAGGTCTTCCTCGATGGCTCACAGGTGAGCTGAGATATCCACCCAGTCCTCCAGCAGCCGGGGGGGCCTGGTGCGGCCAGAGAACTTGGCAGGCTGGGCCTAGCTGCAGAAGCCTCCTCCAGAGTGTGAGCGCTGCCTCGTACGACATTCCAACCAATTAGGTATCTGGCCCTCAAACTGAGTTTGCTATAAAAGCAAACGTACACTCTTCGTTCAAAAGCCTGCTCCTGCTGGCTTCTCCTTGCTGTCCATGACGGTAACCTTTACAGGTTGCGTCAACTTCATGCAGAAGCATCCCCCTTGACATTTCTCTCCTCTTCTCCCCATCCTATTCATCACCACTTTTTCTTTTCCTACTTATATCGTCACCTCCCACAGAACCAGGCTTGAACCCACCTCCCCTCATGTGACCTTGAGGAACTTTCTTCACCAGACGGGTGCTTGATGTTCTCATCTGCGAAGTGAGAAGATACGGTTTGCAGATCTGCTGTAAGAATTAAGTAAGATGGTGTTTACCAAATGCACGGCCTGTGTGAGCTCAGTCCTCCGTCCAGCGCAGCGGCATGCCTCACCGCTGTCCCGGAATCCCCAGCCTTCCCGTTCCTGCCTCACGTCCTTAACCCTGTTCTTCATCTTGCCTGGACGCTCCTCTCCCCGCCTCGCCATTCTGCCTAGCAGATCACATGCGTCCCTCACCAGCCCTCCTTCAAATGCCACCTGCCTTTGGCATCCAGGAGCGATGCCTCCTCCTCCTGAACCGTAAGTGACTCTTGCTCTTTATTTCACAACGCGTGAGGCACTCGACGTGACCACCAGAGTCTGCTTCTGTGTGTCATTTCTCCTCGTGAACGTTCCTGTTTATTTTCCCCACACGTTCTATTTACTTAATAAGTAGTTTTTAAATGACTAAAAGGAATGATCGATCAATCGATTAAACAATGACTGATGCCTGAATCTGGCACAAGCCAATGGAAAATGCTTCAGAAGTGAGGGAATGATTTAAACAAAGAATAAGACACCAAAGACATTTCTCATTTTGTGTGCTGATTTTTTAATGAACATCTTATAATCTTACAAAATAACTGGCTGTAGCTGTTTTACGTTACAATACAGTAGATCAGCTCTTCTCAGTCGTTCCCGATCAAGCCATCGCCTTGGTTTCGGCCGATGCATCCGGTTGTGATTGCACAGAGCAGAGGAAGGGCCAAGTCCAACGCTTGTAATGGAGGAGAGGGAAGGAGAAAACCAAGACGAGCTCTTGACCTTCATGTATGCTTTGCTTTCATTTTTGCCAGCATCCGCCCACTCTCCTCACTCCAACTAGAGGCTGTCATGTTAGTCCCTAGAGTCAGCCAGCCCTGGGCAACTTGGGCACCAGAGCTCCTAATTACTGGGAAGAAGAGGAAACAAAAGTGATTTTGGAACAATGAAACAGAGGAGCCTCTGGGAGAGGCCCTCGACGACACCATCGATGGGCCCAGAGTGTCGGAATGCAGACCACCACACGGAGCGATGTGAGCTGACATCCCTGGGATCTGTGACCACGTGTCCTACTCCTTCCACTTTATCCGTGGCCTGAGTTGCTCAGAGCACTAGCCCCGGGGACCTGGACAGGAAGAACTGCTGTCTCTGAGTGGCCACAGCTGACTAGGGCTGGGCAGCCTCCAAGCTGAGGGGCTCTTCACACACCGCAGGAGCTATCCTGTCACCTTCCCGGGGCAGTGGTGAATCGAAGATGTTGCCAACAGAGGACAAGATATTTTAAAGCAAAGCTTGCAACAGAAATGTTCTTACTATTACTTTTATGGAAACACTGAGCGCAGACACACACTGGCATGAACCGCAGGCTACATGTTTTTGTGGGGGCTGCAGCCTTCCGCAGCTCGGCAACGCCCAGAATGACTTCTCCTCTGCCGCAATCTCACATGAGGCGGATATCCCCCAGAAGGAGCTTGACTCACTTCCAGGAATGTGGATATTTTCCCCCAGAAAACAACTTCACAGCATGTTTTTTTGTTTTTTTTTTCTGATAGAGAATTTAAACTTTTCCACTGTCCTTTGTATATTGAACCTATCAGAATCCCAGAAATAAGTATTTCCTGTCTTCCTGGGGGCACTAAATGTGAGCCATGACAATGCACGGTATCTAGGCTATGGTTTCTCTTATGGCTAGACCTACAGAGGACAAGCGGGGTTTTTTTTGGATAGGCAAACTCTGCTCTTCAATTTCCCCAAGGACTCTGCCACCCTCTTTCCACAAACCGACAGATAAATATGGGTGTATGACGTTATCCTCGTGTTTTCCATTTCGTAATATTGGTCTTCCCTACATGATAGTGTGGATCATACTTCGATAGTTGTGGGTAATATTTCCTGTTCCTATTTGCAGAAAGTAGAACAACTGTGGTCAGAGCAAAAAAGCGGAAGACAGGAAGAGATGGTTGAGCTCTCAATTTTGCCTGCTCTTGGTTTCCATTGGAGATGAAACTTTGGGGGAGACAAGACACCCAGCCCTTTCTAAGATGGTAAGACTGGGATGCTGAGCAGAAATTGGCTCCTTACTCTCTCTCCCAAGGCCTAACCGAGAAACCTTTGCAAGAACACATCACTGCAATAGACCACACGCAAAAAAGTAAGCCCTGGCTGTAAATCGAGGCAGGGTAGTCACGGTCATTTCATGTGTAGTCCGTCCATTGAACAAGAAAGGGGAAAGACAACAAGATGGAGCCTGAATAGTTGAAATTCTTCTGTCTCCCCACTGAGTGTCACCCTCGCTCCATGCATTTCCATAGCTTGCTTAAAATCTCTAGCCCACAGAATTTATACCTCGCTCTGGAACAGAATTTATCTCAGATTCTGCACTGCTCATGGGATCCACTTTGGTCTTCTTTGGAGGCTTGGAAAAAAGACTGAGTCTCTTTGACTCCTGTCATCCTTGTGCCCCTTCCCTTGACTTAACCCTGACTGCTCACCTCCCTATGGTCTCCTCTGGCTCCTCCATCCCTGCCTGTTCTTTCTTCTCCTCCCACCGCTCCCTCCCGCCATAATTACCCCGCCATCACACTTTTTTGCCCCAGAAAAATCACAGCCGGTCATGTGACTGTGAATGACAGCCAGGCTTGGGGACTTCTGACAAGGAGTGAGACCATGGGCCAGGTATGAAGAGTGGGGGGTCTCTCTGGGCCGGTGACCGGAGAGTGGCCCTAACGCAGACTTGCTGACTGGCTGGCTGATGGCCACATTTGGAACAGGGACATGTGCAAGTGCGGAAAATCCTGGGTCTCATCAACTCCGATTGAGAGTTCTGACAAGTGGAGGAAAGTGAATGTATTCTTTTGGGGCAGATTCTCACGAACCATAGTCCAATTCTCCTAGACCCATCACGAGTGGGCACTCACACCCAACTTTCCATGACTCTTAGTGTTATCATTCCAACTCCCTATCTCCTTCAAGTGGGCCCGGCTCCCAGGTCATAAAAAGATGATTGGCTGACAAGCTAGCATCCAGAATTTCGTCTAATCACTCTCTCTCCTTCTCCCTTCCCGTTCACCCTGCCAATCCCCGACGACAGCGAGACGGCAGACAGCTTGTCTTTCTGTCCTCAAAGCCTCAGCATTCATTTTGAACGTGAACTTCACAGCAGCATGAGTGGAACAATGGATAATTTTTAGCTTAGTAAACAGCAAAAAATATAATATATATATAATATATTTATATAATTATGTTTAAATACTTATAAAGAATTAATAACTAACTTCATTATTTAAAGGAGACTACGCAAAAGAAAGAGAAAGAACCCTCTGGGAACAGACGAGCTCTGAAAGGCGGCAATCCCTTCGGAGCGGGTATTAACAGAGTGTCTGCCAACGTCTCTCCTAGTATTTTGTTACTAGTTTACGAGCTGGGTGGGGCTGAGTAGTTGGCAGGGTGCAGAGTGGGGAGTAGGGAAGAGCTGAGGATGGAGCTGAGTAGAATATAAATGGGGGAGCGTCCTTATACATCCATCGTATTTCTCCTTCCGCTCTAATCAACTGCCACTTTAAAGAAGATTTGCATAGGATCCTCCCTCCTTGGGCTACGCGATGCGCTAGTCGGACCTGTCGATATCCTCTGGCGTTTCCTACGAGATCCTTCACGCTTTCGCTCCTTCCTCCATTTCATGACCTTTCTTCTTCCTTCACCCTCTGTTTCCTGCTGTGTTGGCCTTTTTCTTTCTGCCTCTGGGCTGTGGAGGGAGGGGCTTAATCCCACAGTTACTGATTTTCTTCTGCCTTGGGGTCTCGGCAGGTGCATTCATCCAGGTCACAGTCAGCAGCAAATGGAATGACCTAGGGGAACGGAAGAGAAGTTGGAATGACCCATTTTGTGCAAGCTTTACGCTTTTCAACCAGGTTTCACTTTTCTCACCTGCTCCCGGAGGAACGGTGGGATTATGGGTTCCTGTCACAGACTGAAATGAACACCCACTTCTCCCACTCACACACCACGTCGCCCTGTTATCTTAGGCAAGATAATTTTTCTTTGTTTTACTTTCTTTGTATATAAAGCGGGCAGAACAACAGAAACTATGCCAGAGAGTGTTTTTGTGTGGTTTAAATAAGATGATGGGTATAAAACACTTATGCATTGACAAGCACCTATGACTACTGTTCTGCTATTTCTAAGATTACCACTAATGCCTAAAACTGCTGCTTTTATTGTTTTCATTGCTGTTATCATCTTCACAAAATTTCTGTAAAGTAGGAAAGATGTATGTGGGCACGTTCTCTTTATAGGGAAGGCCGAGAGAGGGTGGGTGACTTAATTCAGGATAACGACACCGCTATATGGAAAGCCAAGACCCTACAGATTAGCTCTATGACTCCTACGCCTTAGTGTCCTTGGATCAATAGGATCTTCCTTGCCATCTTCACAAACATGAGTTTTATCTTTATTAACCCCAGGATATACTTTGGCTTGATGAAACATTGCATCTCCCCACCCATTTTTTGTGGCTATATCGCCTTTCTTCTATGTACTTATCCCTTCCCCATGCCAGGGATGGTCCAGAAAAAGTTGCTGTCTTCTGCTTGCACTGCTACCAACAGACAAACATCACTCTTTGAATGTCCAAATCTAGTATCAGAGAGATTTAGGCCTTTGGGAGACATTTTCCATTTTGGGCATTAACAATCTAATGAGATAAAAATGAATAGGCATGTCACATACAATGCTAGTCCAAGTACACTGAAAAGACATGGGCTTGGTGATTGGGCAAGTGGATTGGAGCATGGGTGGGGTTGTTTGGGGAAATTTTCCAGCATATTTGCACATATGAAGTAAAATGTGCTTTAGGAGTCAACAGAGGGGAGAAGTGCCTTTTCAGTCTCGAGTTTTGTGTATGCTGGCCACAGACACTGAAATTCATTAAAGACAAACCCTATATCTGCAGAGTGTGAGATGGGGAGAAAACTTGCTTTTTCCCTAAGTAATCGTGCCTTCCTGTATAGAGATAGCTGGCTGACTTCTGACCTGTGTACCAAGCTCTTGATCTGTTTCTCTTAGTTCAGAATTTATTGGTTTTAGGGTGAAAGAGGGCCAAATTGAATAGTGACACGATGAGCCCCTGAGTGCTTTGCATTAAATAAGTTAATTGATGTAAGTGGTGAGAACAGTGCCTGGCACGTAGTGAGTGATCAGTTAATATAAGCAACTAAGAGATGTAGTACTGAGGTCTGCCTGTAGGTGATCATGGTAGTTATGGCTTTATCATAGAGTCATGCACAAGGAAGGATAAAACATCTCTTACGTATTTCTGATTTATCAAATTGGCCAACTACCTTCAAATATCTTTGGAGCACTTGGATTTTTACCCATATTATCACAAAATTTCAACCTATTCAATTTTATAGGCTTAGCTTGAGCCTGTCTGCTAATTTAACAGAGCCAAGACTAATAGGGATACAGGGCATCAAGGGCAGGATTCATGCCCAGGACATAATCCAGAGATTGCTCGGGGTGGCTGGTGGCAGCCACTCAACATGAGCCCGCAGTGTGCTTATAACACACTGTGTGAGACTATTCATGTAATTGTGAAGATGAATAGCAACCGGATAGCACTTATTGGTAATCCCGCCTCCCGAGGGGTGAAGACCCTTATTTTCCCTGTCCAGAGAAGTTTCCTGGACAACGATAAGCAAGTGTGAGTCTTCCAGTAGCAAAAGCCATGGATTTTCTGAAATAGTCGCCAGATGGATAATTATAAATCTAGAGTTTTCTAAGAACCTGTGCTACCCTTAATCCTGTCACTTTAGAAGCTCTGATGTTTGTTCATTATAATTCCCTCTTGATTGTTAAACGAAAACCAATCGTGATCCACCATGAAGGAAAGCCAGCCAAAGAACCTGCCTTGTTCCTGGAGCTCCTCTCACGCCCGTTCCCAGGTCTCTGACTTACCTTCTTGGAGGACAGTGTGGAAGAGCAGCAGTCTCCCCCATCGTAGTGGCAGTAGGCCCGGTTGTTGATAGTGTCACACCAGCCGTCCGCTTGGAAAGGCTGTAAGGAGGTGGACGTCAGGGGCTCGGTGCAGCCTCACTACGCCCTGTCCTGCTCTCCCGCTCCTCCCCACCCACCATAGTCCATACATCTCCAGAGGTACTATGGAGAGCACCCAAGGGGCAGGACACAAATTGATTCAACATGCTCAAAAAGTTGAACAATCTCAAGACCATTGATTGAACCTAAGGAATTGTCAAATTTCACCTAAGGTCTGGGATGGGTCATTCAAACTCTTTGATCAACTTTTTCACCTTCTTGTAATAAAAGGTCTTTATATCATGTAGGTTACAAAACATTTTCACACATTTTAACTGTTGATCATGGGAGAAAGCCTGTGCAGTAGACAGGACTGTCTGCGGAAGTCCCACTTTATGAATGAAGACCTGGGGATCGATAGAGATGTTAAGAATCTCCCTGGGTCACACAGCTATGGTGAGGCAGAGCTTGGCGTTAGATGCCAAGGTGCTTGCCACACATCTTGGCTTCGACCTGCTTTTCACATATTAAGGACCATAACCTCTTCTCCTGATGTGGGAAGACTGATCCTTAAAGATCCTGGAAGTCTCTGGGTGCTATGAAGACCCAAGTGATGTCTGTCCAGCATGCAGTGGTCCTAGGGTTGAGGACACCGGTGCTGGAACAGAAATATTCCCATGTGTGCAGCTACCTCATGCACAGCAGCTAAACACAGGGTCATAGCAGAGACAGCTAAACTGTCCCCATCACTCCTGTTGCTGCTGTAAGTTAATAGGAACCAAAATGGGAAAGAGGTCAGGCCAAACCAGAGTTAATGGAGTGTTTCACCCCAAAAGAGAATGTATGATAAGAACAGCAACAGGCAGTTAAAAAATAGCTCAGCAGTGCAATGTATTGTTACTCCAGAAAACTCCCTCTGGAGGGAAATACTGCCCCACAGCGTCCTGGAGGGCACATTAGCCAGCCCAGCTACTTGATAACATTGGCCACTCCCCATTCTGAGCCGATGCATAACCGCAAAGCTTCAGAGCACATTTCATGGTCAAACTCCTGGGGCCACAGAAATTTTGAGTTCTGAGGTCACCTTCCAGTTTACATGTTCAAATCATTTTCTCTCCGCCTCACTCTCCCTAAGTGTCGAATAGAAGAAGGACTGTTCCCTATTTCACTGTCCTTTGATGAGATAGATCATTCAACTAAAAAATGGCCATTAAATAATTTTCAGCAATTGGGTTACGTCAGAATGAGCCCATCCAAGTTATTACTTCAGTGTTTTGATTTATTCTATGGGGTCTTGAGGTCATGTGAACATCATTCCAGATGGATACCAGTTTGCCAACCACCGAAAGGCTGCTACTTGCGGGTGGAACGCAACAGCTGCCGCACAGCTGCACGGCAATGTCAGCTGAGAGCAGGAAGCGAAGATGAATTCTGTTTTCAACACAGGCCTCACTGGGATAAGAGACAAGGATTTCGAGATGAACATTTGTCTGTAACACTGGAGCCAGTTATTCTGGCTCTAGAGAACTTCGAATCACTATACAATCAACAAATGGGTCCAAAATTGCAGCCAAATAATAGAAGTCAAAAGACAACCAATGTGTCCTTAACACCTATAGATGCCCTTGGGTCCTTGCAGGAGGACCAGATACCTCTACTGAGATTCCCCAGAGTGGTGTTCTTTTTTTCTTTTTCAGTGTTTGGAGTATATTTTACTCATCTAACACTGTATCTGTTACTTTTCCTCCAACCCCGACTGACTCATTGGCAAAATTTAATAAGTTCCTTCTTTTTTTTTCCTTGTAATTGTCTATAAAAATCTAAAAAGCACCCAAAATATTTTTCTTACGTATGTAAGTATGGTCTTCGGAATGGAGGATTAAAGATAGATCTAAAGATATCTTTCTTTTCATAAGAACAACCTAAATATTTAAATGAGTTAGTAAAGGATCATGGGGAATTGTTCTTTCTAAAGTTTTAAGCAAGGATGGCTTCTCATCCCAAGAACATTAGGGAAGGTATGTTGAAAAGAGCAACAATGTCCTGGGTGACCTCCACTAGGTCCCGCTGGACTTCTGTTGCTATAGCCCAGAAGAGATCTCCAGAAGATGCTTCTTTTCTGCTCTTAAAGAGTCATCAGGAAAGAGAAGGGAATTTATAAAAAGGAACAGAAATACAGAGAAAAAGCTGGAGAGATCCAAGTGTTTAATTTACTATATACCTATTAGAATTAATTGCTCCTCCCCCAACCTGCCAAAAACAACCACTCCACCCTCAACAAACAGAGTCTGCTATGGCAACATGTGCCTGGGAAGCTCGACAGCTTGAGCCCAAAGTTACAATGAAAAAATAGAAAGGGAAAAATGGCTAATTGATCCAAAATTTAAAAATATCTGAAGACTGGACGTAGACTAGGATATTTTAATCTCAATAATTGAAAGATATCAGACTTGGGATATCACTCCCCGCTGCAGGAACTTTCCCAAGGGGGGGCACTGGGCTTGGTTTCTCTGCACATAATGTACACAGGTGAACTTCACCACTCATAGGTACACCTTGTTTATCCTGTAACATCAGAAAATAAAAGTTTCTATGTAAGCGCATTTTTCAAATACCCGAAACTTATCCCTTAAAGGGTCACTTTTTTGTTTTTAACTATTTTGATAAAAGAAAAAAATCTTTATAAAATGCCTGTTTCCCAGCCTTTTAACAATGTATAGAAGACAAAGTCATCAACACAGACATTTATTATTTTCATTTTACAGGAAAGTTCTCACCTTTGCTAAATGCACATCCTGCAACATACACATGTGCGCAAGCACACGCGCGCAAGCACACACACACGCACACTTCAAGCAAGCTTTACCTTTGAGCCAGGAAGTCAAACCCTTGGAATTATACTTAGTAAATATCTAAATCTGAGAAAGAGCTTGGGTTACTCTTCTTATGATGTATGAGCTTATGATACCTATTTTAGTTGCTACAGGAAGCCTTTTCCCGTCAGTCTATTGGTATTAGCCGTGTTCCTGGCAGACTGCACGTAGGGGATGGAATGCAAAGAGGAAAGGCTGTGATTCTGTCCTACCTATACCACCTTGGAAACGTCTCAAAAGTGAATATAATTTCCTCTTTACATTATAGAATCAGTCTGGTGATCTGTTTTAAGGTTGCTGTGGGGAGTTAGCCACAGAGATGGTGGCCCGGCTGTTGTCTACAGGTAGAGTCATTCATTCAATCACTCAACATTCTTTATTGCACGCCTATATGTGGCAACTACTGTTGTGAGGACACAGAGATAAATAAAATAGGGCTTCGGCCCCTGAGGGAACCCACCGTAAGCAATTTCAGCTCAGCATGATAGTTCAGTGCCAGCATCAAGATGTGAGCAGAAGAGAAGTACCTGATCCAGATTTTGGGAATGGGAATCTGCCTTCAGGGGCTGGTTCTGCTACCTCGGCCTCAGTGGAGAAGAACTTAGGACTGGATGAATCTGAGGGGAAGAAGAGTCTGAGCGACTAAGAGAAAAGGAGGGTGAAAATAGAGGGTGGGTGGTCCCAGGCTGCCTAGCACAGACCCCACCCCCAGGAAGAGTTCCATAAACTTTGACTGATTGGCTGACAATACCTCCCTTACCAATCAGACTAAGAACATTTTTCTTCTATAGCTTGCAACAGAACTCAAGTCCTCACTGATGTTTTAGAAGGTTAGTGTGGACTGGAGATCTTCCGCTCTGATAATCTACAGGTTGGGATCTCAGCCCAAAGGGCCCATATCTCGATAGGTAAGGCAGGGACAGAATCCTGTTTTGTTACCTCAAGGAGTGTTTTAGAGCAGAAGATGCTAATCACATTTTTGCCTGATGTCGAACACTATTTTCTCTTTTCCACATCATTTTTGAACAAATCTTCTAGTTATACGAATAAGAAATAAGACCCACATGTATTTCTTCATATCGATTAGGCTGTGTCAGGCCCCCAGGAAGCTCTTTTCCAAAGCTGTGCTGCAGCACTCAGCGGAGCCCTTGCAGCAGATGGAAGCTCTGTGCAAATGTACACAATTATTTTCTCCTTTTCTCTGGCTCTTCAATGAGTGGATCTTCATTCTCCCTCCCATCCCATGGTTCTGCCTACAGTGCCCATACCGCCTGGGCTTCACATCCAAAGACCACAAAGAACAGCAACAGTAGAGCCCTACTGCAAGGAATTTCCTGGAATGTCAGGGGCAGAATTTGGGAGACCTTCATGGCCCCTCAGGGCCCTCTGGTAATAAGAACACTATTTGCTTATCGAAAAGATGAAAGATGGCAGGTGCTGGAGAGGATATGGAGCAAAGGGAACCACCAACCTAGCGCACTGTTGGTGGGAAGGTCAATCGTATGATCCAGCAATCCTACTCCTGGGGAGATAGCCAAAGGAAAGGAAAGCAGTATGTCGAAGGGATTTTTTTAAAGGACCATAGATAACGTGAAATTCTGAGGCTAGATGAAGGCTTGAAGACTATTTAGAACCCTTGTTCTATAAATGATGAAATGGAGCCTTAGAAAGGTGAACTGTCTCATTTTTGAGGCCAGTTAGTAGAAATCCTGGGAACAGAACTCAGATCTCTCTTCCTGATCTGATGTTCTCTCCGCTATACCATGCTGCCACTGTCTGTGATTTCATTTGTCTTTTAATTTACTGAGAAAGAAGGGTAACTTGAATTCCCTTGGTACCTCTATAAAAAGGATTAGATACAAGGACACTGAATGAAGTGAACCCAGTGACCCAACACAGAGACTAAGAAAGGGTAAGATATATATATAATATATATATATATATTATATATATATATTATATATATATATATAATATATGTAATCTCACCTCCACTGGACCCCCACAACATCACTTTGGTTCATCGCAGTTTTGGGTCAAGGTTTATCCCAAATGAGCTACCTGGCACTACAGCTCCTTCTGAGGCTCAGGGCTTAGTAGGCCCACACTTCCCTAGAAACTGACATTCCCAGGAGAAAGGAGCACCGT